GTGGCCTATGTTTTGCTAGAAATGTTGATTTGTTTACGTTCTGGCAAATTTCAGGCGCTCGATTGGTCCTGTTTTTAGCAAAAGTCATGTCAAATTTTGCTAAGTGTTTATTAACTTTGTTTTCATAATTGCATTTTGTTCTCGACGTCGATGATGCCTATCTCGCATCCCCGTCGTCGACTCGGCGGAGGACTCCTGCTTGAGCCGAGGGGCCATGTCCGGGACTGGGCTCCGTTGGGCTGGTACTGGGTTGTGCTACCTTCTGGTGAGCGCAGCTTAGTGAGGAGCCAGCCCGTCGTCGACCCGGAGCTTCTTTGGTGGCGGTCACGTGGGCCTGCATCGGTGGAGAGGCTTCAGTCCCCCGCGCAGGTGGTTCAACACCGTGTCACGGAGGAGAACGCGCACGTCCAGCGCTACTTGGTTGCGTTGGCGAACGGTCGGTTCTCCAATACCTGGCAGATTATTTGGGGATCTCACCGGAGCTATGATCCGGTGATGGTTTCTTCTCTTTGGGTTTCCACGGCGGTCCACTGAACCTAGAGGAGCTATTATTCGAGATGTATTAGTCTTATTATATGATGATCTTTGCTACAAACTACTATATATTTATTCGATGATGGATTATTAATTACCTATTAGTTATTTGCTTATTGAATGCAAAAGATGAGCGCGGTTTGTGCTACAAACTACTACATATGTATTCATGATGGATTATTAATTACCTATTAGGAAATGTCCGACGACGAAAGGGAATTCGCTATGTGCAATTACTGCGAAGATAAGCGCGGTATGTGCGACAGGCCTCACCTGGTAGAAGGTCGGCGCTTCAGCATCAAGCTCCAAGAGACCTTCGATGTTGATACGGTACGCAACGATGACAAGTTTTTTATGTTATTTTTGCACGACTTCTCTGCTTCTTCAACGTGTAATTTCCGTCTTTTACAATTCGACTAGCTTATCCCATGCCATGCAAGACGCTATGTTGGAGAAGATGGGTTTTGAAGATCATGAAAGCACGGAGACAAACATAATTCAACTAAGGACCCATTATGGTTATGATTTTGCTGTAAAACTATACAATTCTGTGAACTCATCCAATTTTGGTTGCCTGAATTGGGAAGCCCTTTCCAAGGCGTATGATTTTCATGAGGGTATGCTTCTCACCTTCGATCTTGGTGATCCTGACATCGACAAAAATGATATGCCCATTTGGGTCCTTGTTGACACGCTTCCAGTTCTACCGCTATGTGAGTTTCTTAAACATATTTACTAAGTAATTTATATTGTTAATTTCAAAATATTTGACAGCTTATTTCCATTGACAGCTTATTTTCATTCTTCAAAAAATGTACGGAAGATGGTAGACAGAACCTACTACTACAATGATGAAGCACAATTAACTTATAAGGAGAAAGATGGTCTTATCACTTTTTTTACTGATCTTGAGAATTACAATAGATATTATCGAATTCCTCAAAATTATGGTTCATATGTGCCACTAGTGCACGCGGTGTGCTACGGTAACATCAATGGAGATATCATGGTAAGATTTTCTACTATTACGACATCCGTGCATCTTTGAACATTGCTAACTACAAAGTTATTACTATGTTTTTAACAGAAAATCCCGATAGATTGTGTGCCTCATCTGATGTTGTCAAGAGGTCGCGTTGAAGTTATGAGCTTACGGCCACCACGGCCAGGTCAACCACAGTATCCACATCACTCCTGTCCATACCGGATTTCTAAAAGCGAGGAAGCCATGATATTAAATGATTGGAAAAAATGTTTCAACCATCATAGAGAGCTACTTGGAAGCAACATTGTGCGTAGGCCAAGACTTGGAGACAGGATGATCTCTGTTCTTCATTATGGAGAGTTCAATTTCCTTAATGAAGAGTCAATGCCTATCTTGTTTTATGATATTTTACCTAAGAGAGGGTAGAGTAGGTCCTATGAGAGGAGTAGGTCCTAGGTAGAATGTGTTATTATGTGATATAATGTGTTAGAGTTGATGAGGAGGATGAGGAGTTGTGATTATGACTAGTGACCAACTTGTTATATATATGATGTTTCATTGACGAACATTGTTTGGTGGTGATGACTACTGGGAATGAATATGCTATTTAAATAGACTAGTTCATGATGAGTTGTTATTGTATAAAAGATATATCTGTTTAAACATGTACAACGCCAAAATATTAAAAAGAAAACATAAATGTTAGCAGTGGCGCAGGCCTAAAAACGCGCTACTAGTAGTTGAACTTACCAGTAGCGCTGGTCTATAAACACGCTACTGCTAGACAATAGTTGTAGCGTCGTAGTAGTAGCGCTGGTACCCGCGCTACTGGTAGCATAAAAACAAGCGCTACTGGTAAGCTTTTCTCTAGTGGTGCTCGTGCAGATATTTGTGACGTAGGGCCCGCGGCGATTATTAAGTGAGCGACGGGCCGATGATTTTAATAAGCATATGTCTACAGTATCAGTGTGGGCGACGGCTAGTTTAGTCCCACCTTGGCCGCCGAACGACGCCCCGACCAGCTTAAATAGCCGCGTCAGTTAACCCATACATGTTCATATTTAATATTGTGATATGTCTTGACATAACTGCCCGGACAGTACAAACATTGCATTGTACTGCCCGGACAGTTACCTAAAGGCACATCGAACTATTAAATATGTATTTATTTATTTGTAGAATTTTGTCATTTTGTGTATTTTTTTAACTTTACACGAAAAACAAACATGTTTCTAACATTTTTTTACTCCGTCAAACATCACGAAACTTTTTTCACACGTTGGCATTACCATCCATAGCACCCACGCCAATTTACATATTTTTCCGATGCTCTACTGATTTTCTATGATTTTTCGGGCCGAAAACCCCCAAAACACTGTTCATTTATGACGCAACGCGCGTTCGTAGTCGGATTTCGTTCATCTCTGGCGTGCGGCACCCGGGTGGGTCCCCACACGCGCTGGCAAAAGTTGGGTGCATTCCGGCAAACCACGCAGGCACTTGCTGTGGAAGCCGGTGGTTTCGGTATGGATGGAGGAGACCCTCGGTTGTACGTCTCTCCGTCGCATCCGCCAAACTCGCTCTTTTTGTTTCCACGGGC